GGGCCGTGTGATTCCATGTGGAGAGAGCGGTTTGGGGGAGGAGAGGGGTGACGGTGAGTGACGTCGTCCCGTGAAGGGTACCGGAAAAGCCTGAAGCCTCGTGAATCATGGTGGCCACGCGAAAACGCCATAAAAATAATACGGCTGTGTCACGATATGGGCACAGGCTGACTCATCTCCTCCCGCACGCACGACTCCAACTCTGCGGAACCAACGACTCGGATCTTACTTTTACAAAGATTCGATCGATAGGCACTGTCGGATGGAAGGGTGCCTCCTCCGCGACAGGGGTGTGCAACCCTTGGCTGAACCAAAGCAGAATAGCTGTGGACCGGTCTGCTCTGCCTTCCTCTCCCCGAGATTTGCCACGACGAATATTTTCGAGCAGGGATCTCTATATACAATTTATTTTCGTCTTCGAGAAATATTCATTTCGATAATATCGGACGGATGGAATCTCGAAAATGCATCGAGGAAAATAAAAGATCTAATATCTTCTTTCTTTCTTTTTTTTCTTTCGAATTTTTTCTCGTACAATGAGATTCTGAAAAAGGAATTATTACTGTCATATCGTCGAAAAGTGTGGAGATTTTCGAAAATTCATCGATGCCGATAAAAAAGGAAAATCTGAGCGAAATATAAGCGTTTGTACGTACAGTAATAGGATTCTGGTGGAAAGATACAGGGGACGGTTATGCATAAATATTAATGGGCGGGAAGCGAGCAATGTGTCGTTCCACAATGCCGCATTCGGATTGATATCGATCGGTCCCAATTCTCGTTAGTCATCGCGGTTTGTTTGCGCGTAAACGAGTTAATACACGGTAAGTTTCAATGAGTCATCGATAACCGGAAACCGGTGTGTAATCGAGGTAAGTAACTGGATGGAGCGTCGTTCTCTCGCGTGATATAGCAATTACTTATTAATACATATAGCTCGTAACGGATACGAATTGCGAAAGTAGGTTAGAGTCGCAAAGTATGCAACAAAATACGCCGATTTTCGAAATCGAAAAGATCAAAATTAGTTCTCGAGGCCTCTAAACTTCTTCTTGATCCTCGATTCGTGCGTCTAGACCGGAAGTATCATATTCGAGGCCCGCATGATCTTATATATCTTATTTATCTCGGTTAGAAAATCATATACGTCGTCCCTTAAACTGAGTCTTTAATCGACGTCTATTGAAAAATATGGAAAAAAGTTGACGTATCGGTGGATTTATCCTTACGAGCAAAGTCGAACGATTTTGATAATAATTTTCATTCGAAGGGAGAGGGCCATCCATAAATTACTCGACAATTACCTCTCTTCCATAATTCTATTATTTATGGGCCGCAAGTGGCGAGAGGCTGATGACGGTCTTACCTCGTCTTACCCACCCAAGGGACGCCTACAGAGATATCGATCCACCTTTTCTATTCGATTAACGTGCCCATCCGAAACCGGCCAGAGATTCGCCCCTCCCCCCTTTCGAAGGGGGGGGCGACCGTTTAACGGCAGCTGCTCGGACGAAACGCTCGGGCAAAATTTTCGTCCACGTGGTCTCGAAATCCCGACTCGTGAGATAAGGAGCACGTGACTCGACTTTTCTCTCCACGGCCCTGCGTATCAGCACGAGCAGGAGATCGTTTTTTCGGACACCGTTGCTAATTGAATCGCGCCCTCCCAACCAATCGAATCGAATCGAATCGAATTACGGACGAGCCGCCGTGTCTATTAGCGAACGATTGGTTGGCGACACTCGAAATGAGTAATGGAAAAGAAAGAAATAGAAGAAGGGAGGGGGGGAAAGAGCAGAAAAATAGCGACAAAGCGGTGGAATTGTTTGGCTCGGAGAGGGGAGAGAGGAAAACAGCGATTGGGCGAGGAATAAATACAGGGCTGTCGGGGAAAGGTTGGACGGAGACAGCAGCGCTCGAGCTAGCATATACCGACCGCGTTCAATTGTACCTAACCGAGCGGATAAAGTTCGACGAGATTCCCCTCCCCTCGCCCTCGGCTGAACCACGATCCTCGACGAAACGTGGCATCATATCTTTTCTCCTTTTTCGACGCACGTTTCGAGAAATCGCGAAATTCTCGTAGGTCGAGGATTCGTGTGGGCGCGCGGCTGTGGGAAAGAGAGAGGGTGTAGGTATTCAACGCGAGGCATTCCGAAAATAGATCCGCCGCGAACCGTGCGACGACGTTAGAAACACTGTGCCTGTGTATAATACTCTCTCTCTCTGTCTCTCTCTGTCTGTCTCTCGTTTCAACCACGCTTTAATTACGAAAAGAGAGGCGAGCGTAAATATACGTATACATATACATATACACGGGAACAAAAGCTGCCTTTTACGAATCGATCGGATAAATAAATCGCGTCGCCCGATTTTTTAATCCTCCTCTCGATTCCACGAAGCCGCAGGTTTATTTTCTTATAAGGGGAGGATGGAAAGGAGAGTGGAAAGTGAAAATTGATAGCGGAGACGAGGGGCAATGGCGAAGCATCAAACCGGACCGTTCCCCCTCTTCCCTCGTTCCGCTCAAAGATTCCACCCCTCGTGGACGATGAACAACGAGGAGCCCTCCTACGCTCGTTGCTAATCGCCCGTACGATGATACGCCAGAAACTCGCCCCGCGGTTATTGTATTCCACCGAGCCGAGGCAAACTCGCTTTCGTTCTTCCCTTCTCTGTCAACCGAAGAGAGAGAGAGAGAGAGGAGGTTCGAGGCGACACGCATCGAAGCGGAACGCATGCGTTCCTAACCTTTCCACCCTACGCGTGCAAACACGTCGCCGGTTGTGTATACGTGTATCTGCGGCGAGATATTTTCCATTGGATCGTATCGTGGATGGATACGACCTTGAATATCCATAAATTAATATATTTCACCTATTTTCCCGCCTCGTACGAAATTCGAAACAATTCGTATTGTATATATCGTGTATACCTTTCTATCGTTCGACTTTTCCTCGATGGATTTCTGAAAACATTCTTTAACGAACGATCGATATTTCAATGCCTCTCGACTGTGTATACGTGTATACGCGCCGAAACCGATATTTTGAATATCCACAAATTAATATATTTCACCTATTTTTCCGCCTCGTACGAAATTCGAAACAATTCGTATTGTATGTATCATATATATATCTCTATCGTTCGACTTTTTCTCGATGGATTTCTGGAAACATTCTTTAACGAACGATCGATATTTCGACGCCTCTTGGTGTTGTGTATATATGTGTATCTGCGCCGAGATATTTTCCATTGGATTGTATTGTAGATGAATACGACCTTGAATATCAATATATACAAATTAATATATTTATATATTATTGTATTATATAATAATACAAATTAATATAATAATTAAAATAATATATAATAATTAAATTATATAAATTAAATATAATAATTAAAATAATATAATTTTACCTATTTTTCCGCCTTGTACGAAATTCTTTCGAAACAATTCGTATTATATGTATCGTAGTATACTTCTTATCTATTGTTTGACTTTTTCTCGACGGATTTCTGGAAACATTCTTTAACGATCGATATTTCGACGCCTCTCGGTTGTGTATATTTGCGCCGAGATATTTTCCATTGTATCGTAGATGGATACGGCTTTGAATATCCACAAATTAATATATTTCACCTATTTTTTTCGCCTACTACGAAATTCCAAACAATTCGTACTGTGTATACATATATGTATCCTGTATACACCTCTCTAACTATTGTTCTTTAACACGTCGACTGCCGCGCGTTTCTAATAAAATCCGCTGTATCAACCATACTTCTACCGATATTTTAGTAATGCATCTGATAGTCGCAAGAATGATGTCTCGCGTCATTTGTTTCCATCGTTACTCTTCGCGTCTGTAATAGAAGTATTGATAATAGTAATTGTATTGATAATAGTATTGAATAGTAATACTGATTTATATAATATATTTTGGATATTTTAATTTGGATTATAATTTGAATAATATAACTAGTCATAACAAATGTACTTTTTAGTTGTGAATTGTATATAAATTATTCGTAGGGCTTGTCTATTAGAGACCAGAGTCTCTCACAATGTCACAGCAGGTAATCGTATCCGATGGTCAGAGCATATGTTCATAAACTATTTAATTATCTCGTGATACCCTAAAATTAGAAAATTTGGAGAATTATTAGCTGCAAAATTGTTGGGATTATCCGAAAATACAACGAAACCTTGTCAAAACCTAATATCGCCGTTCGGAAAAATAAATTCTGATATAAATATTAGCCTGCATGCAAATTTTTAGTTATTCGCATAAAAGACAACAAACCGATCAAACGCACGAAGGAATTTAAAAAAAGACAACAACTTTTTGCACAAATTCAGCTTTGCATAGAATATTTTAAAATTTTACATTCAAAATAATTTTTTCAATAAATTATTTTTTTATCATTTCTATAACAATTTAATAATTCTATCACAACCTGCAGAAATACCTACGAAGATCGTTCATGAGCAGCCAAATAAGTCAACGTGTCAACGAACGATCGACTTAAAGTTTCGAATCGGATAATTCTCTGGAACAACGAGCGTGTTCGAGATTATTTAACGAGGAGAGTAGTGGCAAGGAATTAGCGGGAGAGAGAGAGAGAGAGAGAGAGAGAGAGAGAGAGAGAGAGAGAGCACGGTCCGATTTAGCGCGAGTCATTAGCGCGAGTGCATCTTCTTGGAGTTGCATACTCGTGGCGCGGAGGGAAAGACGTGGATATTAGAAAAGCGGAGCGGGGAAATGGTGTGCGTGCGCGTGGTGAGCCTCGTTCGTGTCCTCGGGTTAAACGGACGTGTGCCGCGCTCGAGGAGGGTGGACGAGTGGAGGGGGGGCAGCTACACGCGTGTCGTCGTCGTCGGTTTGGTTTTGGTTTTAGTTCCGTGGCAGTCGACGTTGCCGACGACCACGATCTCCTGCTCGGCTCGTGGGCCTCGCGTCTTCGAAAACGTCTTCCACTCTCGTCCACTCTTCTTTTTCTTCTTCCCCTCCCCCCTCCCTTTTTTCTCACGTTCCTACGATCGTTCTCCAACTCGTTCTTCGAACTCCGTTCGAGTTCCTGCCAACGCTCGCATACTCGAGGAGACTCGAAGGTGTAACGAGAAAGAGAGAGAGGGAGAGAGAGAGAGAGAGAGGTTGTTACACGAAGTTCCGTGAAATTTTCGCTCGAGAGGAGATATCATTAGCGTGCCGCTGTTGCTCGTCATTACTGTGTCACGGAGATAATAATCGAGGCACGGTCGCCTTTGACGCCAGCTGCATCGAAATGCAAAACTGGGAAGAGGAATAAAAAGTTGGCCGCGTCGATCGAGCCACCTGATCGTGGGTCTAATTTAAACCGCGCAACGCGGGAAAAAGTAGCGTCTTGGGTACCCGCCCAAGAATAACGAGCGGCCACCAACTCGTCGTCGAAGAAAAAGAAGGTGGGGAAGAAACCGGCAAGCTGTTTTGCAGGCGAGATCAAAGTTACGGAAGAAGCGAGTGGGAGAGAGAAAGAGAGAGAGAGAGAGAGGAGATAAAACGCGAGAGGAATAAAACGATCGACAGCGAAAAATTTTTTGGACAAAGCGAAAGGAATTCGAAAGGATGCGAGGGAGGGGCGTCTGAAAAGGGACAAAGGGGGATATACTGCGAAAAAAACGTCGGCTCGTTTTCTTAATCAAAAGATTTCGGTTCGCCACGACTACGCGTTTCGACTAATAACGAGCACGTGTTGCCGTGGCGTCGATCGCGTGAAAAAAAAAGGAAGAAGAAGAAGAAGGAGAAGAAACGGGAGGAGTCTGGGGACAATTGGAAAGGAAGTCTGAGAAAGGAAGGATCTTTTGGCCGTTCCAAGGGAGAAGAACAAGACTCGAGGAACGTTGGAAACATTCCTCGTGTTGGAAAGTTGGGCAATGAAGTTTACTCGCCTACACTATATACTTCCTGTATAGTTTCAACAAGGGCGATCCATCGATCGTGGAGAATGTGTCCGGCCGTGGCGTCGATTCGTTTCCGGCCGATCGAGGGGACAGCTGAGAGGAGAGGCGGCATAACAAGACATCGGTCGTCGAGAAGAAATTGATCGAATCGACGAGTCGAGTTGAATCGAGAAAGACTCGAGGACTCGAGGAGGATCGGTCGAATGTCTGTGAGGGTGTCGATCGAGCGTGGGTGGTGGTGGTGGGCCGCGCATCAACTCGAACAACACCTGATCCTCGGCTCCCGGTTCGAGATGCGGCGCACGTCGGGACACGTGTTTCTGACAAGTTTGCTGATACTGCTTCGAGCACGTCGAGCGGACGCAGCTACCGAGGATTCCCCCGAATTCTCGAACAAAGGTACGTCTCCTCTTCTCTTCCTACTTTCGTATATATTACGAAACACCCATAACATCCTCCCCCTTAACCTATTCGATTCTACCTTCGATTCGTATTCGCGGCGATGGGATCCTCCTTACGGTTACGTTCGAATCGGTTCGAATCAGTTTTACACGAAACGAAACGAGACGAAATGAGACGAAACGTGTTCGATTTGCTCCTTACGGTTACGTTCGAATCAGTTCGAATAGGTTTGAATCGGTTCGAATCGGTTCGAATCGGTTTTACACGAAATGAAACGAGACGAAACGAGACGAAATGAGACGAAACGTGTTCGATTTGCTCCTTACGGTTACGTTCGAATCAGTTCGAATAGGTTCGAATCGGTTCGAATCGGTTCGAATCGGTTTTACACGAAACGAAACGAGACGAAACGAGACGAAATGAGACGAAACGTGTTCGATTTGCTCCTTACGGTTACGTTCGAATCAGTTCGAATAGGTTCGAATCGGTTCGAATCGGTTTTACACGAAACGAAACGAGACGAAATGAGACGAAATGTGTTCGATTTACTCTTTACGGTTACGTTCGAATCAGTTTGAATCGGTTCGAATCAGTTCGAATCGGTTCGAATCAGTTCGAATCGGTTCGAATCAGTTCGAATCGGTTCGAATCGGTTCAAATCGGTTTTACACGAAACGAAACGAGACGAAACGAAACTTTTCGTGTTCGATTTGCTTCTTACGGTTACGTTCGAATCGGTTCGAATCGGTTTTACACGAAACGAAACATTCCGTGTTCGATTTGCTCGTCGATCGAACTCGAACCCATCGCCGTAACAAGAGAATGGGAGGAGTCGTGTTTCGCACAGGCCGCGTCGGTGAAACTCTCGCGTACGGAGATTTATTTCGGAGCGCGGTGACCTCGACCGGATTTTACAACGAGTTAAAAAGTTACGAGCGGAGAGCCTATCGACATCTTGGGATATTCGGACGAGGCTCGCGACACACCGGCGCGAGAACCCTCAAGTTTTTGGCAGCCGATCGCCTCTCGATACGCTTCCTATGAAATAAAAGCAGCCCCCCTCCTCCACCTCCTTAACGACTTCTTGCTTCCTGCCTCGAATTCTTGCCAGAGAAATTCTATCGGTCCCTGTGGCACGGCTTCCTACCACGAAAATACGATGAAAAAAAAGAGAAAAGAGACGGAAATCAGCCTTTAAAATGATACTACGAGGGGGATCCGAGTCGTGTATGTGTGTGTTTAAAGAACAGACTCGTTGTATATTTGGGATAGACTTTACGAAGTTTGCTCGATTGATCGTTCGCAACAACGTTCGAACGTTGATTACCGTTACAGACGCCAAATCTGTCAAAACAATAGCCTTTTCCTTTTCCTTCTTCTTCTTCTTCTTCTTTTTTTAGAGATTTAAGATTGTTCACTAGTGGAATTGAAATTGATTTTTATTATTATTAGAAAAATCTTATTTCTTTTTTGGATCATAAACTCGAGAGGAAAGATAGGAGACGGCGTTTCCCTCCGTCATCGATGTACGACGATCACAGAAATCCGCCGCGTTCCGAGCTTATAGATTTATTTTGGTCGGCCGAGCGGGACGTTTGCCCGCGAAGCGAAAGAATTTGCGCCGCGGTTTATTTTCGGCGCCGCGCGAAAAAGGCGCCGCTTCGTTTTGATCCCTCCCTTCCATCCGTCATTTCAAGGGCCGCTTTCCAACAATTCCCAAAATTAATGAAAACGAGAGGCTTCGAGATCGAAAGACGGCTCGTGCGAAAAGGAATGCTCGTCGCGTGCTCTTCGTCTGACGCGAGAGAGGAAGAGAGAGAGAGAGAGAGAGAGAGAGAGAATATGCTCGACAGAGCCGGAGGAAGAGAGACAGAGTCGGAAGGAATTCGGGGAGGACCTTTCCACGTGCCTCGCATTTCCGAAATTCGATCCAGAATCGTCCTTGCCGCGAATACCCTCCTCCTCCTTTCTCCCCTCGAGGGGAAGCGTAACGTGGACCAGCCTCCCTGCGCCGCGATCCTTTATACACGTTTGCCTCGCCGCCTGTCTACCCGGAACGAAAGCAACGTTTTCCGCGAAAACGAAGGAAAAGCGCGTCGGTTGCCTCTTCCCTAATTGCGCTACAAATTTACGAGGGAGAATTCGGCGCGGTTCAAAGCATTCAACGAGGCGGAAGGGAGATTTTCGAGAAGGGAAAAGAAGAGAGCCAAAGTTTGAATAACAAAACGGCGATCGAACGAGCAGAGGATCTCGAAAACCGTTGAATTTAACCCTTTGCTCTCCAACGGTGACTCTCGATCAGCACTGAGATTGTTGCAATTTGAACGACAATATTTATTTATGTTTGATTTTCTTATAATATATATATATATATATTCTTATATAATATATAANCCACCGTCCGAGTCTGGAGTTGCTTTGGTTCGAAACAGGAGTGCAAACCAACCTGTGGGAGGAGTCCCCCGATCTTCCAACTAATCACAAGCCCTAGAATAAAATACCTCGATTTCATCGAGGAGCGAGACCTCCAAGAAGAGATTCCCTTTCTTCAATAAGAGAGAAACGTCATCGTATTCGAGAACTTTACTTTCCGATTTCTGGGACAGAGCGCGCGGTGGAAGAGGGAGGAACGCGTAACTCGGGGAGGGGAGGCGTCCATCCGTGGGATATCGCGACAGGTGGCGACGGAGTTGGAATTTTATCGAGCGAGGCGACTTCTTCTTGGGCCGGGTTCAGAGCAACAGGTGTCGGAATGCGAAATTGCGGGAGGTGTCGAGCGAGCCGAGGTTAGATCGAGATAGGGGCGCGAGAAGCCGATATAGGAAGCGAGGGAATGGAAGTCTGTCCACCGGTGTGACTCGAATGCGTGGCGCGTCGGGAGACAAAAGGCAGGAAGCGTAGCGGCAGCGCTAGATTCTAGGCGCCGATGAAAACTCGTAAATTAATTCCGGTCGGAGGGGGGGAGGCCTGCGACTCGATGGAGCCTCGCCTTAGTCATACAGCCTCGTAATAAATTAGCCCGATGGACGTTTCTCGATCGACTCTGGGCGAAAGATGGAGAAACCAGCCGAGGTGAGAGGGGGTGGATCAAAAAGGAGAATGGAAAAATATGACGAAAATAGGCGAGGCGGCGGAAGCGCGGTTTCCTAACGAGCGAGCGATACAAAAATAACAGGATCGCCCCTTCCGAGCATTATTTACATAACGATATACGCTCTCTCTCTCTCTCTCCCTTTCCTCGAATCCTCGCCCGAGTATCGGAATTCTATTTCGGGGAGCGAACGGAAAAAACGAGAGAGAAATCGGCCGCGTCCTTGCTCGAGCGATCGAAAATCCGCTCGTCACGAGACTCGATTCTGTCGAGAGAATTAACTGGGTTCCGTTCCGTTCGCCTTTCAACGTACGAAAAAAGCTGTTTTGAAAGCCGTTTTGAAGCTGGTTGAATGGAAGAAGGAGGGGGAGGAACGCGGATCCGTTCGATCGGCGCGCGATGCATCATCGCGATTCCCTCCGCGCGCGAATATAAACTTAGAATCGCAGCGAATCGTTACGAAGAGGTTCTCCACCCACCGGGAGAAAATAGAAACGATATAACGCGCACGTGCGGTGTTAACGTACATCGTGGTATGCCATTGATAACTCTGTCTCTGTTGGCACGCGTTATCTTTTCTCCCTCGTCTTGGACGATTCGTGGAAAAAACAATGGTTCGTCTCGATGCACCAATATTCCCAATTAAGTTAAATTAAATTAAATTAAATTCAGAGAGTGAAACCGAATCGTCTCGAGAGTGAATAATTATAGAGAACAGAGAGCACCCTAATATTTCTTTTGTAACCGCGACGTAATCTCCCCCCTCCCCCCTTCGTGTTTTCCTCGATTTCTATTTCGATTGAATCGTTTTTAGGAACGGTGCCCGTTTCCGAGAATAGACAAAAACTAGAGGAATTCTAATTCGTAATGAGCACAATAGGCAGCTTACTTTCCCCCCCTCTTCTCGCGGAAACTGACGTGTTATTACGATCTAACCTAATTATTTCTCTTATTCTTTTGTGCCCCTTTTTTTAAGGGTCTACGACTTTCGCTCTTACAGCGCCGCTCAGATTGGTGTGGGCCAGCAAGGGGGAGGACGTGGAATTGCCCTGCGATATTACTCCGCCGACCCCCAACGACTCCGTCAACATGGTGCTCTGGTTCAAAGACACCGCGGGGATACCTCTTTACAGGTAACAACCTTCTTTCTCCTCCTCGTTTCTCTCTTATGAAGCGCGGCTTGAAATTTCCTCCTCCCTTCTCATCCCTTCGTCGAGGTGCAGAACTTTGTTTCATCGAGGGGAGGAGGTGAGGGGGTGAAAACATCCCCATCACGCGTATGCAGCGTTTACGCGGAGAAGGATCGTCGACGGGTTTAATATCCAGCAGTAGATGCCATTGTTGTGAGATCGCGTCTCGAAATATCTCGGGTCAAGCCCCCGAAATAGGGTGCCGCCATTATCATCTTCTTCTCCCCGCCGCGGTTTCTTCAAAACCCCATCCTTCTCCTTATCGAGCGATTAAAATTATCCGGCCCCCTCCTTTCGCTCCTGATTGAGGTAGATCGCGTAACGCGAATGACGAATAAATTGATGATGGATAACGATGTATTCCCGTTCCGTTTATTTACGAACGGGAGTCGTAAGTTTACTTAAAACGGGACAACGAACGGGCTGTAATTTGTAATTAATCGTCAAACGAAGGATGTTCCTAGAAAAAAAGAAAAAAATACAAACACGTGGCCTGGAAAAAAACTATAGGATGAAACTGTTGCGGATAGACGTTCGTGTTACTATTTCGAAGAAGAAGGAATAGCGTTTAAAAGAAAGAAGCGTTGCACGAGGCAAGTGGTTCTAAGATTTTACGAGTTTTCTTTCCTTTTTCTTCCTTGACCGCAAGATGTTCGAGCGGAAGAAAGGGAGAGAAGAAGTGGAAGGGAATTCGATCGATTCTTTTCCCCCCTCTCCTGTTGCGGAGAGATTTCCTCCTCGACATTGCGTAACGGTCAACTCGTTTTCGAATCTAAATCCGCCGAGTGCGCGTTTGCCAACTATCCTTTTTTCCCACCGCAAATAGACGCGCGTGCTAGAGTTAGTCATTAGAACTAGTGGCAGAGGGGGAGAGGGGAGAGTCCAGGGTCCGGTGTTTACCACCTCCTTTTAATCCCGGAAACGTCAACTCGCTCGATCGTTGACTCGCCAAAGAACTCGAGCCAAGTATTTCGGCCCGCTGATCGGGCCAGGATACTCCCCAGGTGGTAACCGGGTAACCTCGCTTTCTTTGATCTTGAGATCGCGTCGTGGTAAGGGAAATTTCTCTATCATTTTTTTTTCATCGTTCGATCGTGTCCGATATATCGAGATACGAGAACGATACGATTTCGAGCGTGCGATATCGACGTTTTCGAAATGGAATTTCGAAAAAAATTTTTCTGCGCAGCTTGGACGCGAGAAGCAGGGATCTCGCTTCCGCCATTCACTGGGCGGTCAGCGACGATCTTGGAAAGAGGACCTACTTTCAAATCGGCAACGGGCATCAGGCAAAGTTGAAGGTGACCAAGGTCACGTACAAGGACCAGGGGATCTTCAGGTGCAGGGTGGATTTTATAAATTCTCCGACGAGAAACTTTCGCGTGAATCTGACTCTCGTCGGTGAGTATACGCACATTGAATTTTGCCTCGAGAACGGGATCTCTTTTTCGTTCTCTCTTTTTTTAATGCCGGCTAATCCCATTTGCAGAGGAACCATCCAGGCCTGTGATATACGATGCTCAGGGGCGAGAGGTGACAGGGGTGGGCGGACCCTTCTTGGAAGGTTACAACCTCGTCTTGATCTGCCAGGTGTCCGGAGGTTAGACTCTTCCCTCCTCGTCCGCAATCGACTCTCTAATCGCGTCTTCTCTCTCTCTTCCTCAGGAAGGCCGAAGCCTACGGTTACATGGTGGATGGACGGCGAAATATTGGACGGCGTGGACGACACGCCGCACATCGGCTCCCCGAGCAAATTCACGGAGAACCAACTTTTCATCGCGAACGTGACGAGATCGTTGTGGGGAAAGAAGCTGGAGTGCAGGGCACAATCGCCACCGATGTCCGCCCCGATCGTTCGTGAAGTCCCTCTCGACATTTATCGTAACTATCCTTTATTATTTCGATATCGAATTACGTCCTCCTCGAACGAGTGTAACCGTCGAAACGTTTCGAAGAAACCTATCCATCGCGAATAGCCGCACACACACATACACGCGCGCGCGCGCGCCTACACATGCCTGCAGGAACAAAATAGAACGAGCAATGTTGCGTGCCTGTCAAGGCCGCTTTTTTCAATCTCACCACGTGCGCCAACAGCGATAATCGTGAATCGTCGTTGTGGAACAACTCTCCTCCTTCCTCGCGCCGTCCCTTCCCCCCTTAGTTTTTTTTCTTTTCGCTCGTGTGTCGATATATTCTGCACCTCGGTGTATATAATACACCGGCGAAAAACCGCAGGACACGTGCGGCTTCTTAAACGTAACTTCTTGCGTAAGCCGATCGTATTTCTCGCGGGGAACGCGTGCAAATTCTTTTTTCTTTTTCATTTTATCGTGGCGCACGTGGGAACGGCTTCCTCCCCAAAATAAAAACACTTTAGGCCGGACATCCTGCGCGGAAAGAAATATATATACATGCATTGGCTTCTTATTCATCCGAATGTCCTGCGACTAGTGTCGTAGGAGAAGAAAGAAGTTTAAATATAGTTCGTGGGTTAGCGAGCCACGACGGAAGCGAGATGAATTCCAACGATTTCGCGCGGTCCTCTCTCCTTGACTCCTTTGACGGTCGTGTTTCGTGGAATCGCCGTTCCAAAGCGTAAAAATACGCGGGTTCGGGTGTGGAGCATGTGGGGCTCCCCCGGTTATTTTCGAGGCTCTCGGAGGACTCGATCTCTTCGCAATTTTTTCAGATTCGTTTCGCTTTCAGTGAAACCGGCCCTCGTAAAGATCGTTCTGACGGAGGACCAGATCTACGCGAATCGGCCGATCACGGCACGTTGCGAGACATGGGGGAGCTCGCCCGCGGCGAGGGTGGTATGGAGGCTGGGCAGACAGGTGATAGGCGACTCGAACGTGTCCACCACCCAGAGAAGCAATTCCACGGTCAGCAAACTGCCTCTGATCCTTGGCAGGGACGACAATGGGAGGAAATTAACTTGCAGGGCCGAGAATCCGAGATTTCCCGGCGGGGTCCTCGAGCAGACCGAGATCGTGGACGTTGCCTGTGAGTCAATTTTCTAAATTCTGAACGAAAAGAAAAAAGATATGCAATATTCTCTCCTCGTCTCTTTTTACTTTTCTTACTTTCTACATAATTTATCAATTTAGACGGCCCGGTCGTGTCCATCGATCTGGCAACCGGCTACGTTCTGGACACGCTTAGGGAAGGAGACGATCTGAAGCTCGTGTGCGACGTGGACAGCAACCCACCTCCGACCAGAATCGTTTGGTATCGCAAGGTAAGGGGGGATCGAGTTTCTCCCTCCCTCGGTAACACGAAACACCAACGAACGGGATTCGAACGTTGCAGGATAATCGATTGGAGCACGATGTGGCCGACGGAACGTTGATAGCCTCGAACACGTTGACGTTGAGGGTGCTCACTCTGGCTCATGCAGGCGAGTACTCGTGCGAGGCGATCAATTCCGTGGGAGAGGGTCGCAGCCCACCGATCTCGGTCCGCATGAAATGCAAGTACCTGTTCTTCGATCTTCGATCCTGTGTCTTTCCTTCTCCTAATAATCGTTGTTATTATTATCTCCATTCCAGATGCTCCGAGATGCAGGGCGGGCCACGAGAGGCGCGAGGTCACAGCCGGTCGTTACGAAACGGTGTCGCTTCGCTGCGAGGTCGACTCGGTTCCCAAAGACGGTGTGAGATTCTCGTGGACGTACAACGGGACGCTTGGTGACGTGTTGCCAATGCCAAACTCGAAGGCTCGGAATAACGGGCTCGTTAGCGTTCTCGAGTATACCCCCACCGTCGACACCGACTTTGGAACTCTCGCCTGCTGGGCGAGCAACAGCGTCGGAAGACAAAGGACGCCTTGTATATTCAACATCGTGGCTGGAAGTACGTGCCCTTAAATTTCTCTTATTCTTTTATTATTTCTTTCTTTTCAAATTATTCCAAGCAAAGGATTCTTCGAATTCCTCTCTTCGGAATTAAAAAAAAGCTCAAACCATTGTTCTAAAGAGTATCTTTACGCGCTTTTCACCGGTGAAAGTGAAAACTTTTCAGGGAATTTATTTCCTAACGAATATATTATAAATCCGCAGAGCCACCGCAGCCGCCGTCCGACTGCTCGCTCCACAACGAGACCACCTCCCTCCAAGTGAATTGCGTCCCAGGCGCGGACGGCGGTACGCCGCAGTACTTTTTGCTCGAAGTTCGGGGGACGCCGAGGGACCCGGTCCAAACTCACTCCCCTTACTCGCCTACCCTGCACGCGCCCCAAAGCGATCAGGGCACGGTGGGCGAGGCGCCGCCCATATACCAAGAGAGAAACCCGAGGCCGAGTTTCCAGATACGTGGCCTCGACCCGGCCTTCGATTACACTTTGTACGTGTACGCGGTGAACGGGCAGGGCAGAAGCGAGCCGCTCCTCTTGGAGAACGTGAGGGTCGGCGAGGTGATGGTGGGCGAGAAGATCGAGAGGAACGGCCTGTTCCTCGAGGATCTGAAGAAAGCGCTACCCAAGAGCAGCCCTGAAAACATGATCATCGTGGTCGCGTTGACAGGTACAGGTAACTAGATGAAAAGGGATCGAAAAAAATATAAATATAATATAAATAAAATATAAATAAAAATATAAATAAGGAATCGCGGCAAACAGGTTGTGCAATGCGTTTGAGACTCGCGTGTTTTCATGAAGAATTTTAATACCTTTGTAATTGGATTAAATCCACACTAAAATGGTGATCTTTTTTCAAAATCTATTTTTTTTTTTTATTGAAATTAATTTATTAAAAATTAGTAAAATTGATGAAATTATTATAAATCTCTCGAAGTAGCTTTTAGGAAATAATCAAGATAAATATCGCGGATTCATCGAATTTCTAACGATATTTTCGGATGCAAGGTGCGGTTGCTTTGATCTTGATCGGGATCGGCGTGATCATCGGGCTGGCCATCTGCAGGAGAAGGAGCGCATTGCCGGTAAAAGATGGGCCGGACGATTTCACCATCCCGACCTACGTTTCCGCTCAAAGGATCGAGCCAAGGATCAGATACTCGGGCGACAGCAGGCGATCCCAAAGAGCGAGCTTGTACATCGAGGAAAATCGAAATGGTAAATCTTTCTCTCTCTTTCTCATTGTTCGTGAAAAATTATTCGAAGGAGAAATTCATCGCTTGTTTTTCCAGAGCCTGACCTCCTGCAGAGGGTCGAGATCGACGTACACGATTAACGTTCGTTCTTCTTGTACAGATAGAAGTAAAAAAAGGAAAAGGAAAAGGAAATATATATCATACGTGTATTATGATACGTATTATACGCTTTTCGCGAATCGTGATGTGTATATATCAGGTGTCTATTCCCTTAAATAAGTTAATTTAAGTTTAAGATTATAAGAGATAGATAATGGCGACAATTCATCGTGATCCGATGATTTTACACTGTTTCCACAATTCCTGTACCTGTTGTTGCTTTTATCGTTTAAAACGATGACGATGAGCTCTGGACCGTTGTTACATTTTTTTTTCCTTTTGTGTAATTTACGTGCCTTTTTTTCTTTTTTATTTTTTGGACAAAGAAAGTATTATCACAATTTAAGCTTAAGCTTGCCGCTTAGCGTTAAGTGTACAAACGCTTCCTTTTGGACGAATGATCTCGCGGACCAACAATGGTACTTCTTCTATATATGAATCGTCCTTTATAGGAATCGAAACGCTTATTGTAATTGTGTAAATAGCGTATAAAAAAAAGAAAGGGAGAAAGAAAAATGAAAAAAAGAGATACCGACGTTGTATTATTAGCGATAAAACTAGGAAATAAATTTTTACCAAAATATTCACATCCTATTCTTTTCGACCCGCGCTTCGAACACCGCTGCGCTATGTCCCGAGAAGGATAACGATTTGTTTTGTAAACAAAACGATCATGATATAGGACGCGTTGCCATCGTTCGGTGTGCCATCGACTAGGTAATAAAAAGAAAAAAAAGAACGGTCGTTTGACCATTCGCGCAATACACCCGGTGAAAAGTACAAAAACGCGTGTGTTGCTCCACCTTCCATAAACAAAAAAGATCGTAACTTTTGCCCTTGATCCGACCCCTCGTGTTCGAAACACACAGAAAAGAGAAAGGGAATCTTCGATGCGTTCGACGATCTCATCGTCGAGATGGAGGAGAATCAACAACAACCGAGTTCGAATTATACGATATTTCAGGATCACTTCGGGAAACTTGTGTTGATTTAAAACGAGCTGCATTGTTTACCGCGATACTGCAACTCTACTAGCAGGTAGTTAACTGTATAAATACACGATCGAATCCAAGTTTTCATGGATATCCTGTCGAAGGTGTTGGCAGGCGAACAATCCAAACGTCTGCTGTATCGTTACGATGATCAGCTGGATCGATAGATTCGATTCGATATTTTTCATGAACGAGTTTGAAAAAATTGGGGGGAAAGGGTATCATATCCGATTCGTACGGATCGATATGTTGATTCGCTTTGACGAGAGGATATTCGATGGAATATTCGATCCGCGTTTATACGTTATTTACGTGCAATCTGGCATAAATGTAGCGCGCTAATAACTATCAACCGAATTACGATCGAAATTACGCGCGTTACGTGCAAACGCGTAACCGGAAAGTCCTCTTCGTTCGTACGTACGTTACGTAAATTTGAAATATAACGGTGAAGTGGATACGAAAAAGAAAAAAAAAAAAAGGACGGAGATTAGATTTGGCGCTGCGAGACGGAATTTTTGAAAGGCTCGATCGCGAAACCCTTTTGTACGAGACGAGTTTTGCTCGTGACTGTACGCGTCAGATACGCGCGTAAAGTGAATGAGCGATGTAAAATTTACAATTTATAATGGACGCGAATACATCGACTCGATCCCAATTATCCGACAACACACGGTTACACACGGCCGTGTTATCTATTCATATCGAGCGTAACCAAGGGGGATCCAATTATAAGCGAATTTATTAATTTACACAAAACGCAAATGCGAGGCATCGTTTTATCATTTTCGATGAATTGAAGGATCGATCGAATGAACGGGGGAAAAAAAAAAAAGATGGACGATGATGCTATATGATTTCCTCGATCGAACGGCCGCTACTTTATATTCGACGCGTCGACAAAACGCGGACGAACGCGTTTCCAAGCGGTGGAGAGGGAGCGAGCGACATGGACGAGCGGTCGATTGCTCGAAACTTCATCAACGTCGCGATAATCGTGTCGTCGATTGCGTCGACAGATATTCTATTTTCGCTGAATTAGTTGCCGCCGCGCGACAACCAATTGCACCGAAAAATTCAATTATCATTACCGACCGAGTTCCCCCCGATCGGTAATCGATTTACAGATTCGCTCGTCGCGTTAAATCGTAACCGTCAATCCCCTCTCTTCTTCCTTTTTCCACTACTCCGGCGTCCTCGCAAGGAAGAACAAAGAAGAAACGTAGACGATTTTATCGACGCATACGACGAATGAATCGAAAAGGGGATTGGGAGCGAGATATGGGCGGGTAAATAGCGAAATAGGTAGGGAAGAGAGAGACGGTTCGTTAGGGGACAGAGAAAGGCTCTGCCGCGTCCGGTCAAAGCGTAAGCGAATGCGGCGTGCATTCGCTTGTATAATGAAGATGCGAGCGGCAAGCGTTGAACGCGGTTGCGTATTACGGTGGCGTGCGGCGCGGAGATGGAAACAGCAGCGCGGCGTGTCGGATAATTAGGTTATACTTTGTAGAAGGGCCAAGCCTCGGTATTATCGTTATCGTCATGGGAAGCGACGCTCGGCCGGAACGCCGCGGGTTATTCGTGTTATTTTCAACCGAACCACTCCCCTTCTCGCGTTAAATCCACGAGTCGCGTCCAATCCTTCCGCGATAATATTCTATTCCACTTCTTCGATTTCTCTTCGCGCAAGGATTACGATTAGTCGACGAGTCCAAAGAGGGGGAAAGGTAGAGGGGGTGAAAAATTTGTCGCGCGCAGCCACAACGAAACTTGGAAGAAAAGAGGGGGGAAGAGAAGAAACACTACTTCTCTCCAGAAGTTAATTTCCTCGGTTCTTAAAGTTGAACGAATGAATTTAATTAAACGAGTCGACGCAACGTGGAAACGGCATTTAGACCTCCGTTGATCTTTCGCCTGATTATTCGTTGGGGAATTGTCCGGCAGAGGGAACGGAATTGGCGAGTCGGTCGGAAAGTGTTGGGCCAACAGGTTCGACGTAACAACAGTCGCGTCGCGTAAATAACCACGGGAAGGGGAAAAACTTTGGAAAGGATTTACGCCACCCGGGAGACGCGAGCGATTTACACTTACGGTCTGCTTTGAATTTTATTTATTAATCGAACAATGACAATTTAAATATGATAGTTTGCCGGAGTTAGTTACAACGATAACGGGTTATTAATTATTCCTTTATCGTTGTATATAGAATTAGTAGATAATTTACATGGGGTGATACAGTTCCGTTAAATAATTCATAGTAATCTCTCGAATGATACAATTTTATGTAACGCGATGGAAGAATAATACATAATGCGGGGCACGTAATGTACAAAGGTACAAATTTATAAAGCATAGAGCGAGAATTAATTACAATATATTCAATCGAATTATAAATCGTGTATATATGAAACTTATCCACCGATGATAGAACAAATTCTGTATCAATTCGACATAGATCCTTATTATCGATCGTGCCCGAGGATTGTTTTCTTCATCGATTTAATTAAGAATTGAACAAGAATTTATGTATCCTTGGATTTTCCACGAATTGGATAAAGGGGATAGGAAAGAAGAGAAAAAGGAAAGAAGGAAGCATCGGAAGCATTAGTCGAACAATTACTTTTGACGAAGATTGTACATAATATAAACGATCTCGTTAATTTATTTGCGCCCCATGGAGCAGAAAATTTAATATGGAATAACGTATAATTTTAATTAACGTAACGGTAATTATAAAACGTAATTACATACGTAAATAGCATCGACGATTAAGTGTATTCGATATGCAGTGTTAAATCGATCGACGCAATTACGTGTAAAATTAAGGCTCGTGAAATATCGATTTTCCCTGGATACGTATTTTATATAAAACGATTAAGAAACATATCCAAGTCTCCCCTTTGAGAACTTCAGGTTTCTCCTAAAGAGCAAGCCAATCCTTGTTATTAACACATACTCGAAAACTACGCGTTCTACGAGTCACACAGAGATGTTTCGAGCATTCATTTTATTAGTCGACGAGTCGAGGCCCAAAGAGAGGGGGAAAAATTTGTCTTGCGCAGTCACAACGAAACTCGGGAGGGGAACAAGAAGAAAATTAAAGTATACGCTTTCACATATTATTCCTTCGTTGATCGAAGCAAACGATGGCGCCGACTCTGTGATTCCGATTCCTCCGATTTACCTCGATTTAATCCACCTGTTGACGAAATAAATCCACGATCCCCAACTTTTCGAATTTCCAACGGAGGAATCTGAAATAAATCTTCGAAGCTTCGACGATCGCCCAAAGGCAATCACCTCGATCCTGCGTACAATTTTCCCGCAATCGGAAAGCTAATTTTTCACGCTTGAAAAAGCGAATATTCACGAAATTAAATAATTAAGTTCTTATTCGAGTCGGAAAAAATTAACGTCTTTTTTCGAACGGTGCAATTAGAGTTTGCCTCGAAAGATACATCTAATTATTTTCCAACAACCACGAAATATTCTCACCGACGTTTCACGTAAGAATACTTTCACGAAGATATATATATTCATATATTCGAGCGATTTCTGAGCGAATATCTCGATACATTTCGATTATTCGCGTGTGGAGAGAAAAAATTTGGGACTTTCCGCTCCATCCATTTCACGCCTTTGCAACGGTCGTTGAATCGTCGCGGCTCTCACAATGCGCCACGTAATTACGTTACGTTAATTAATCCATCCTCTCTCTCTCTCTCTCTCTCTCTCTCTCTCTGCACGCTACTTTCGCCGTTTGCCAACGCCCCGAGCTCTTTTAATTCGAAAGGAACCTTCCCTCGATGAAACGGAAATGAGTTACCTTACTTCCGTTTGCACAAGATTTCACGGTGAATTTACGAATCCCTCCCCTCCTCTCCCTTCAGACCAAGCATTCGCGTCCAATATCTTGGTAAGATAAGAGGAGGAGGGGAGTCGAACGAGTGTCTAGAATCTCTTTTTCTTCGAGAGTGCAAAATTTCGCTCTCGAGTAATCATGGCCGCGTAAAGAGGAGGGGGAGAAAGTTTCAATTTAGAAACTCCTTTCCTCAAAATTGTTTCGATCAAATTCGTCGACGGATCGTCACGGATGGGCAATTAATGAAAGGACGAGGAGAGTTTCGTCGATATATCTCTCCTTTTTAGCGGGCCTTTGATGCTTTCCTCGAGAAAGCTGAAACGAGGCTTTGTGATCTTTCCATTAAAATTTCTATTAAGAAGTAGGCCGAGGAGTAGTTATCGAGGCCGATAGATTTCAGGTATCGATAAACCTTCTCTTAATATATCCTAACATAAATCGACGAAGAATCCGCGTTTCTTTATCCTGTCGGTCGTAGAACTGGAGGAACGATCTCTCTCTCCCCCTGGGAATTGCGATTCGAGGGGGACGAGGAACGATGTCACTGGAGTCTGCAAGTTTTCGAACGCAATTTGCGATCTCCGTCTCTTCCCCGTAAAAATTTTCATCGAACGTAAGCGTAAGTGGAGTTTGCTTGGAAGAAATTTGGGGTGAAAAACGCGTGTGACCTGACATTGCGTGGAAAGTTCGAAGGGGAAATCGGGAGAAATTTGATCGTTGAACCATCTCTTTTTTTTCTTTTTCTCTTATTTTTACGGTAGAATCGAGCAGGTATTGTTTTTTCGATGAGATAAAAAACAAGGGATGCGAGGATTACGTTTCAATAGAGCGAGAACGAATTTCCGATCGGACGTAAGGGATAGGGTGGTCGTCATATCCGGTGTTGGGAGCCGCGGGGCGCGCTCGTGGAAATGGAAAAGTTGGGGTAAAGGCTCCTTTACGAGGCATTAAAAACCTCATGTATGAGCCACCTCATATAGGATCACTCCTCGTTGCGAAATATTTAACCCTTTGCACTCCAACGGTGACTCGAGTTAATGTCGTAACTCTTGAACGGCGATAATATTTATTTATGTTTGATTTTTTTAGAATATCGTGAACAGGTTCCTAAGCTCTTTATGTATAATCTTACGAGGTGTAGAATAATATGTTGTTAAATGGCTGGATTTTTTGTCTCAAATTAGACCGTGATCGGGGGTTGAATGACATTTTAGTTTGACAGTCATGGGAATAGAAATATTATTTTCGAAGTTTTTGAGATTTGTAAGCGTGGAAGACGAGTTTGATTTTTCGTTATTGAACTACAAAATTACTTCTATTCGTAAAGAAATTAGGGATAGAGAAAGTAATGATGAGCATAGAGATGAAATAAGAGGTATAAGAAGGCGAAAAATAAGAATAATTCCAAATGGATAACATGCATAGAATCGGAAAAAATATAGAATATAATTTATATCTTCGAATATAAATGAACCATTAGACTTTTTTAAACTATTTCTTACTGATGAACTTATTAATGAAATAATACGCGAAACAAATAATTTTGCAATAAAAAAATTAGAAGAAAAAGTATTGCTCTACTTGCCCTAATATTAAATATCACACGAAACAACAATATAGATTTTACGTAAAGATACATAAAATATTAAAATATAAAAATTTTATGCATTAATTTGTGTGTGAAATCATTATAAATCATGCAAGAAATTGCACCGAAGTCTGAGTCTAGAGTTGCTGGTTCGACCGAGCGAATGCAAAGGTTTAAAACAGCCGCCTCGTTTCGATTCGAAACCGACTCGCACGATGAAAAAAAAGAAAGCGAAAGAAAAAGAGAAAAAGTTAGGACCGAAGCCTTCCTTCCAGGAGGAACTGGAAAACTTTCGAATTTTTACGGATCATCGGGTGTAAATCATCGATCCCCGAAAAGTAGAAAAAGAGAGAGAGAGATAGGAAAGAAAAGAATGCAAGGACAATCGATACGATCCTTCTCGCCGTCAGGCTGGCGCCGAGCAAATATTTGAAGGAATCTCCCTCGTTTCCCGATTCCGATCCAATTTGAATTTCTCCTCGTCGCTTTCTTTCTCCCCTCCCGCGGAGAGATATGATCGAGAATCTCAGAAAAGGACTAGTTGCTTTGGATACTTTTCGAAAATCGTCATTGAATAGAGAGAAAGAGAGAGAGAGAGAGAGAAAGTTTTTTGCGTCCGTTGCGGAGAAAGCCGCAAGAAATTCAATCTCGCCGCATCGCAGCGGCTAAAAGCTAAAAATCCACTTCTGTCCAGCGACAGTTTGTCTTACCACGGTCCCCACTCTTGTCCTCCCCCTCCAGTTTTTCCCTCGGCCATTAGACGAGTCTCCCCTCCCCGCCCCTCTTTCTTTCCGCCTCTCCACGAAATCAAAGAAACAACTCCGGCGAATATTCGCCGGAACCGGAACGGCTGCCCGCTCTATCCCCTAATTACGAGAGCGAGGCGTCGTTGTTTTCCGTTCATCCACGCTGAGAGAGAGAGAGAGAGAGAGAGATAATGGTAGAACGCGTCCGGGGTAATCAGAGCGAAACCGAGGAAATTGGGTTCTTTGTTCGGAGGAAGGAACGACGCGTGACGCGTGCAGCGTCCAAAATAGGGGAGGGGAGAAATTGAATTTTTCCTCATTCGGTTGGCGTTGGTTGGTTGGAGAGAAGGATTCAGAAAATGGACGCGTGAAGGCGCGACGATCGTCGCGTTGGCCGCGGATGTATAATAGGAAAGGTGTCTCGAGTCGAGTCACGCGCGAATCTCCGGGCAAAATGCGCGATTTAATTAATTCGTATCGCGCCGCGGACTCGGCCGCAAAAAAGGCTCGAGCCGGGCGATAAATCGTTTTTGTCCGTGCCTCGTCGATCGTAAACAACGCGCCTCTTCTCGGGAGAGTTGGCGGAGAATCAACCCGTCGATTTCACGGGTTTTCAATTTTATGCTTCCGAAAGAAAAATTCTGAATGCGCAAGTATTATTCTTTAAACTTGTATATTTCGTATCCAAAAAGGTATACTTTTTTTATCTTTATATTATTATGGCAAGTCTTCAAAAGACATGGAATAAGCTATTTGAAAGCTTAGCAAAAATTTATTTTCGTAACCGAAGATTTAAATTTTTCAAGATATTTTCAAAAACCTATATCCAAAAAGGTATACTTTTTTACGTTTATATTATTATGGCAAGTCTTCAAAAGACATGGAATAAGCTATTTGGAAGCTTAGCAAAAATTTATTTTCGTAACTGAAGATTTGAATTTTTCAAGATATTTTCAAAAATCTATCCAAAAAAGTATACTTTTTTAAACTTATATATTGGTTATAATTTTTATAATTTATATATTGGTTATATATTGGTTTTTAATGATGCAATGAAGTAAATATATATTTCTATTCGTTTTCTCTGGAATATTTATATTTTATTGTTTCTAGATGTTATATGTACTTATTTATACAAGAAATCCGTGAATTTGACGGGTTAATTTATATTATTGCGAAATAACAATGAATAAGAAAAAACAACACGAAGCAAATGACGACTGTTTAGCAATAAATACGTGATCAAACAAATTGTTTATAATTGTGATATTATAACAAATAATCCTTTCAACGGTGAATTTTGCAGAGAAAAAAAGTGATTTTTGTAAGTGAATCTGTCTTATTATTTTATGTAAAACAATTAAGTTAATGATAAAAAAAAAAATAAGCGCTATTTGGAAGCTTAACAAAAATTTATTTTCGTAACTGAAGATTTGTATTTTTCAAGGTATTTTCAAAATTCTATCCAAAAAAATATACTTTTTTACGTTTATATTATTATTAATCCAAGTCTTCAAAAGACATGGAATTGATAAAAAAGAATAATGAAGCATAAATGAAAATCAATCTGGATCGGATTTTTGATAAACGAATTAGCAAAAGCAAGGAAAAATTTGACAATATAAACGAAATTGAAGATTCTGACGACAAGTGAGAATGAAAATTATCACAATATGTATAAAAGAAAAAGAATGCGTATTATTTCAGATATTGAAAGCGAAAGTGAAATAAAAGATGCCGATAATGAAGAAAATAAACAAACTTCGTGTGTTTTACAATTGTTCTTAGATTTGCCAGTCATCAATGCATTATTACACAAAGAGACCACTGACGTACGAAACAAAATTCGAAAGAATTTTCTCTTTCAATTAGCCGAAGAATTGGGCAGTGACCATCACGACGAACGAAATACTAGCTCCAATTCAGTGTCTGACTATATTTGCATTAAATCTAACGAGTATGCATGCGGAAAGTATACATCCAAGATATTTTTTACACGCGTAAAAAATATATTGAAGACAACGTAAGTAAAAGTCCATAGATTTTAAATAAATAATTTACAGAAAATTTTAAAGGATTTCAATAAAAAAATATATATATATAATCAATGTCCGTAAATCTCTTTAAAAAATCGCGACAAATGGAAAATGTCGAAAGTTTGTTAGTTTCCTTACGTGCGTTTGAAAATTTGACTCAACGAAGATCTGACGAATATTTATTTGCAAAAATCTTTTTCCTTTTTCTTTCTCTTCGTTTCGATAACGAAAGACGTAAAAATAGTAGGAGTATCGTGGGTGGAGGGGAAAGGAAAAGAGAGGAGAAAAATTATCGTACAACATAGATAAGTACAGGGAAAATAGGGTGAAGAAATTGCGAGAAGGAATTGTTCTAGAATTTAAAATTCACTTTCAAATTTTATATGTGATTTCATTATTGAATGTTGCCAGCAACATTACTATTTCATAGATATTTCTCTTCGATACACTTCAAATGTTTCGTAAACAGATATCACGTACAATCAAATATACTCGTTCAGCTAAACTCATATATTTTATTTATTGTTTTCCACTGCCCAGTCAACAGGAATTTTCACCTTTTCTTTCTTTCTTTCTTTCTTTTTTCCTCCCCCCCCCCTTCCATAAATGCAAAGTTCCGTTTTTTTTTTTTTTCGACCATGTCGACGCGAGGTACACTCGAAAAGCCTCGAGTTTTCGTTTAGCGTGGAGGGTTCGTTGCTCGCGGGAGCCCCGTTTAAAGCCAAGTTTATCAAACGAGCCTCGCCTCTGAACTGCTCTGCTCTGCTCTGCTCTGCTCTGCTCTGCTCTGCTCTGCTCTGGCTGACGTGAAATCAAAAATAGAACGGAACTAACAACGGGATGCGAACAAAGGAGGTGCATTTATTTTCTTATAAACCTGACCGGCGTTAAACATTCGTGAGAAGGGGAGGGGAGGGGAGGGGAGGGGAGGGGAAATACTAGCTTCTCGACTTCTTTCGATTATTTTACTTTGCTCGACCAATCGCAATACTTTTTTCTTTTCTCCTTTTTCGCGGCCTTTCACGATTCGTCGCCATTATTCCCCCCCCCC